ATTTTATTGGATAAAGATTGGTTTCTAATGACGCTTTTTCGCCACAGTCTGCTATAAGGGTCGTGATTGGTCAAAATCAGACACGTGACCTAAGGCAGCCAATCATATTACGGCAATGGATACCGTCCTCGTAAACGAAAACCTTCAGATTTAGACAAAAGTTTTGGGTAAAATAATGCTATTCTGAACATATTAAGCAAGAAATCGCTACCTGTACGTAAATTATGGAACTTATTGGACGTATCGTGCTAGGTTATGACCTGTGACAAAAAATGCTTCATGTATATATTTTCGCATTAAACATCGTGTCTGAGCGTGAAGATTGAGGCGGCGAGAGCCGAGATGTCACTCGTCAGTGACTTGATTTGCATTACATGATCGCACAAAAAGATGGAAATAGTAATTTTATATGTACGTTTGACAACTTTTATGAATGTTGTTGTTGATTTTATTCATTAGTTTATTCAATTTATTTAATGAATTCCTCGAAACATCGTTACTTTGCTCTTTCACAATGTTATTGTAGACCCGCTGCAGAAGCATGTGTCCGAGAATCGTTGTTTTCAATAACATTGCGAAAAATAATTTATAATTTTAATTCTGCTGATAATATATGATAAATTGAAATTTAATAAGTGTTTTCAGACATTGTGAAATGTGATAGATTTAATATATGAATCATAAGTCAGGTAGGTTCCTAAAATTATGTCTCATTTTGACGTGACTACTGCCTGGCCGCTTCTCCGGCCTCCGGTGTCTGGGGACTCATAACGTTGTGGCCGCTTAAGCGGCCTGCGGTGTTGAAAGGGTTAATCAGTTAGCTGATGCATCGGACAGACCAGCTTCGTCACTGTGAAGCGTAGGGCATTGAGAATTGTAGTGAGAACATGGTCATTTGGAGGTTTAGTGACGCGCGAATATAATCCGAAACCTATACGGTTTGCAAGAAATCTACATTTGTTCCCGTATAGAGATTTACTGCATTGTACTTAAGGTGGCCTGACAATCAAAAACTGAACCTAGGTGAGCTGAGGGAGAAATGTTTGATTTGATTCTGTTGGCTCCTGCGGCCTTATTGTGACCATCAGATATTGCGCCTCACGAAACATATATTTAGGACCAGGGTTCCGAACATGGAGGTAGCCCAATGATTAAAGCGTCCGCTCGTCACACTGAAGATCCAGGTTCAATTCCCCACATGGATACAAGGTGTGAAGCCCCTACAGTGATATTGCTGGAATATTGCTAAAATCGGCGTTAAACCATTCGCCAATGAACAACACCGATCTCTGAAACACCATGCGGTTTATTCGGCAACCATAACATGGACAAGACCAAAAACTAGGAATGGTGAACTATACCATTCCGTACAAAGGAAAAGAAACGAACGCGGATAGCGTGTGATGGCGTGACCGCCCTTCCTCCTGCCTTGCGGAAAAAACAAATCAGTTGAACATAATCTTTAAATGTTCATCAAAAGGTAATGTCTTGGGCAATGCTATGTTTAAGTGATGAATTATACCAAGTAACGAACAGCCGTTAAGTCAAGTCCCACTCGCCACATCGTTGCCACACGGGTGGGGCGAGATCGCCTCGAAGGGGTTGATATGTCTGCCACAGTCTCTTGACTAGAGGGGTACTCGAGGTCAAGTGTTGCGGGGTCAGGTCCGCCTGGATCGTACACTCAAGGTCGGTGACAGATGGGAAGCTTTGCCGACTGGGAATGAGTGAAACCTTGAATATTGTCACGTTCAGTCAAGCCTCTGATTTGGTCATTAGGAGTGGTTCTGAGTACAGTTGGCATCACCCGGTAAGTCTGACGGCCGCACCTCGTATACTCTCGAGCGAAACTGAGATTGGTATTTGAAGACACGTGTCTGTCACTGCCGTGACCATGTACTAGCTCCGAGCACAAGTTTTGTCTCGGTCAGACTTGAGATACACCAAATCACCTGCAGAGACATCGCAAGGATCATAACGAAGACTACCACGAGCTTTTGATTTGCTGCTTGGGGAATGATTCTGTTGTCGAGTAGATAACTGTTGAAGGATCAGTTATCTGTCGCAGACAGGGAGGTTTTCGCCGGTGATTTGGTCTCTTTGAGTGAGTACCTTCCTAGCAGAAAGTCCCTTTTTCCGTATTCTGGAGTTCAAATTGGCCGTTGCAAGGTTCAAAGTAACTGGTGAGAGATGACCCCCTTCGGGATTGTAATGGAGACACTCCAGGCCCAGCTCCTTAGTTGCTTTCTCTGCGACGGGTTTTTTGTTACGATTCTTCGGGGAACTAATTTCCAAATAAACGCCTTGTTTGTTCAATTTTGGATCCTTGGCAAGTGAGATGAATCCAGGTGCGGGATCCACTCTGACGAGGCATCCATCAGATCTGCAATGCTTGAGGTCCGCCGTAAGCATTAAGATGGCATTCCCCAGATCATCATGTTTCTCACTGGGTATGATGCAAGATTTTGTGACAGACGAAACAGTCTCATGGAGCACAAAGATAAGCTGGCCATAACGTTTCATTACGTCTGCGGCAAACGTGGAACATACCATGTCCGGTACAGTTCTCGTTGACTGGGGATATAGTTGTGAAGGGATACGCTTCAAAGACATGCAGTGATGGCAAACTTCTGTTGCCAGGGATGTAGCTTTATCAATATCCAAGGCGTAGACATATCTGCTAAATATCTGCTTGAGTTGATAGCAGGAGGGGTGATTGAAGCGAATGTGAAGGGCAGTTAAGAGCCTATCAAGGACTGTTCTTGGTACAACAATACGTTCCCGTGCTAGTTGGAATGGTGTGTTGTCTTTGACAACAAGGAGGCCATCATTTGCTGTGGTAGTCACTCTCAAGTACCGTTTAACATCAGAAATGTCAGTAACCTTCTTACTTGGGCGAGTCCCTTGAGAATAATGAGAGTGTGTACGTCTAAGGTCAGGGCACTCATGCTGTGATGCAAGCCACGCAGCATGAATTGTAAATGGCATTTTGGCACCACTCTCAATAACATCACGAACGCTGAGGGAGAACACCACAGACTCGGTCGATTCCGCAATGAACCTGCAAACTTTGCAGCTCTGGTCTGTGCACTCACTAGGATGACAACTCATGTAATCCGAGGGGATATTGGAAACTCCAGCGAAGTGTGTGATGGTAACACGGTATCTGCTGACCATAGATAGAAATGTAGTGACTCTGGTTCTAGCAGAGAAACAACCACGGTTGAGCTTGTTGAAGGCTTGAACACAGGGTCTGCTATCCGTGAGAATCTGTGTTTGGGATGATGCTGCCGTGATGTATGGGGCGAAGTGCCTGACAGAAGTGCCAATAGCAAGTGCTTCAAGTTCACATGGGAGCCATTGCATTTGAAGCTTTTTCAGTTTGGCATTGAAAAACCCAGCGACATGGGTCGTTCCATTCCGGTTCACATACAGCGTAGCCGCAACACCTTGAGCTTTGATGGACGCATCTGTGACAATACAGAGGTGATCTGTCGGGCGAGGTATAACAATAGTCTTGCAAGAGGTCAATGCAGATTTGGCATCCCGGAATGCTGCGATGACCATAAAATCTTCTCATTTGACTGTCGTGCAGCTGTGACAGAATCCAAAGGGGACATCAATTTCGCATAGCCATGCAGGGCACGACTTAAGACCTTGAATGCGCCTATGAAAGATTGCAGTCCTTGAACATTGGTTGGGGGTTTCACAGCAGACAAAGCTGCAATCTTGTGTGGACTTGCAGTCTAGGAACCACTACTCCAGATCCATCCCAAGATGTTGGTTGATTTGGTGCAAATTACTGTTTTGGAGGCGCTGAGGCAAAGGTTATTGCCATGTAAGGCAGTGGGGACAAGGCGCCAGTTATGTAGAGCTTCTTCAGCTGTATCCCCACCACAAAACAAATCATCAGCCAGTTTGATCACACGTCCTTCCTGAACAAGATGACCAAGCACTCATGACATCAGTTCCTCAAGGTAAGCCTCTGAACCCGGCATCCCCATAGCACAGCGTGTGTACATCCGTATTCCTTTGAAAGGAGTGACAACCCCACAATATTTCATGGAGTTGTGAGACAAAGGTATTTGATAAAATGACTTCAGTAAGTCGGTTTTGACAATGAACCGCCACTTGCCAATATCTCTGATCACATTGTCGACGCTGGGCATAAGGGCAGGTTGTGGTTTGCAATACTGTCCAACCTCTCCAAAGGAAGTCACTAACCTACTCCCGCCATTTGGTTTTCGAACCAAGAAAGACATATTGCTCGAGGTATTCGACCTTGACGTTGACCTGCTCGGGCTTGGCGAAAACACCCTCCTTTTCCAGCTCATCAAACTTACATTGTAGTTCATTCAAGGCATCTCGGCTATAGTGCGGGAGACGGCTTTTTCGTTGAGGAGGCAAGGTTGGGCCCATGTTCACAACAGCCTGCACGTTTCCACCAACACCATTGTACTTTGACACTGATGGATGAAACACTTGATCATATTCCTCATGGAGATCAGTAAATTTACTAACCATTTCAGGGTCAAGGATGTTGTCTGGATCAAGCGATATGTCCTTGGACCATGGAAGTACTGGATCTGCATTGGGTCCTGGCATGCTCACAGGATGCGCATCAGCCTGAATAGGTTTTGTGATGCGTCTGATCTGGCAAAGGTGTTCATGACCCTTGAGGGTAGTTTCGCCGGTAGTGGTATTCGTGATCCTGATTTTGTTACCTACAGATGTACTGGGCTGACATGGAGGCCAAGCCTTCTCATGTGGTGTGCCCTCATTGCAAGGACAATCAAGCCTTGGTTCTAGAGCCCAGTCAAGGCCGGGCACACTGTCCTTGGGAACATCAACGTCTATGTACTCCTTTGGCAGGAGAGTAGTCTGATGGGAGTGAGTCTAGCCGTGGCATGACTGCTATGTTGTTGTCGGTAATAAATGGCGTTCGACCCCTTGATAACGATTCGGTTCTTGGCAGGTCGAGTAGCAATATCATTGCTTTTATGGAAAGGAATTCCTGCAAGGATGTCGACATCAAGCTGTTTGACAACGAGGGCATCATGTCGGAAAGAATCGTCTTCTCTGGTCAACGTGCAGTGGACTTCTTCAACTACTCCCAGTGGAGTAACACCATCGGCTTGTCACGCTCGTTGGGATGCACTAGTAATGGGAAGATCAATGGCTCTGGCAAAATAAACTCTCTGGCATGTTGGTCGTAGCACCGGTGTCTAAAGTTAGTCGAACTGGGTGGTGCTCATAAAAAGCGTTGAGGTATGGAGAGGGTTCAACACTGATACGTTTAATGCTGGGATGATCGAATAAGAGGTTCTGTTCTTCTTCCTGATCATCGTCTGAGCACTCACCAGTGTTGTCCTCCTTCACGCCAATAAATCTGGAACTGCCAGACATCATACGCTTGTCGTAATCCGGGAGGTATCTGCAACTCCTGAGGTAATGGGTATTATAAACTGGACGCTCGGCTGTTGTGCACAAGATACAGAATATACCCACTGAAGGGTTACCTTTCTCAGACATCTGGTTGCGACTAGTGGGAGGCTGTCTGTTGTTTGGGTAGGAGGGCGTATAAGGTCTAAAGGCTTTAGTGTCTTCAATGCTACGCAGTTCGTCCAAGAACGAAGATAGGGCTTGTGAAATCTCAGGTTTTAGTGATGCCAGAGTTTTATTACGGACTTCGGGCCCATACTTTTGCTTAACAAGTTGAGGAAGACCAGGATGGATCAACTGTAATCACAACACAACAATCGTATGTTCCATGGTAGGGGAGAGATCTTCGTCAACAACTGGTTCCAGACCATGGTGTTGAATGCCACATCCGGTAGTGAGAAGGTTGTCTTCTATAAAAGCAAGAAGCCGTTGATACAAGTCCTCAGGACGTTCCTCTGTCTGAAGGTTTATGTCAACAATATCTAGGAAATGGGATCCAGTTGAATGGAACCCATAATGCTGTCTGACCTTCTGCCATATGTCGTGAACAGACGTGGAGTTTTTGATGACAGAATTTCTGGATATCACACTAGAATAATTCGCAATTTGACCGAGCATCAAGTCTAGATGCCCTTTTTTTCTGCGCTGCTGTTTTTCTACGTTGTTGTGGGACATTTCCGCCATCATTATGTAAGCCCCGAGTAGGATTGACGGCAGTTTTGTTCTCCCACGTGAAGTCTTTTGCGAGAAAAGGGGCGAAATTGTCATCTAATGACAAGATATAAACTAGATTCTGTCGCCAGTTTTCAAAAGAGTTTATGGTTTCGTGTTTGGTCAACTGCCACTGCTTTGGAGCCCGATTTTGAGCCATGATTTCGATTCAATAATGTCACGAATTTGCAAGCACTCACGAAGTTATGTGCACGTCCAGTGAATACGTCGAAAACGTTTTGAAATACACTTGCTTGTGCAGGGTTGCTCACCGATTGTATAGATATGACGGTAAACGATGTCACTGGAATCCTGTTTGTCGGATTATTGACGTGAGTAAGAACGTCCCATTTCAATCTTAATTGAGGTCTTTGTTTCTTTCAAATTTTCAGAGACTAAGCGTTTGTCTCTTAACACACATATGTCTTGATCAAATGGGTCGCATTTAGTGCATCGTTTGTCTACAATTGTATGCGCCACGATTCTGTTGTATGTGGAGTTGTAGACCTCATGACTGCTTGACATTATGTACAGAAGTGTGTCAACGTTCATATTTCTCGAAACATTTTAACTAGGTTCACGCAATATGTTATTAATCTGCCCGTAATAGTGCAGCACGCAGATGCAGTTGTCAAGTTGTCACCATTTTGTGAAATCTGAATGAGTAATATTTCATAGCAATGGAAAGAATAGCCCCTTAGAGGCATTGGCGTATTCCATTTGTCTTTCTGAAAGGTTGATTGGCATTCAAACAACATGTAAAATTACCAGATATTCACTGCTCGGGGAAGCCAACCATTTGACGGGATGGCATCGGTAAAACACGAGGTCAAGCAGCTCGTTTGTCTATATGACAAAGTTACAGTGTCCGGATATCATCGAATATACCCCTACCCTCCAACCAACCCCCCAACCCCCCACCTTAGACTGCACAACAACAAATGCATACCGTACAACAATATCCCTCATAATATTCGTTCGCTCAGTAAATATATCAAAAAAAGGGTAAAAATTGCAAAAGTGATTTATACAAAACGAAAGTATTGTCTGACTCGATGTTTTACGGTAAATCAATTAATTGCTTTCAGACGTGTAATGATATGTTGCTTTTTTCAATGTTGCTATCCAAACGTAGTGAGCCTAACTATATTCTAGATATACAATGTTTCAAAAACTTCCATTGTATTTTGAAGGAATCATTAGCAAGGCCAGATCCAGAATTTCACATATACCGGTAATGTTGTTAACGAGATATTAGTCATCGCAAATCATTGGGGTATATTTTTAAAAAAAATGCAGAAAATGAAAATGGTATGCCCTCAGTTGATATCATATGAAATATGTTCAGCATCGTATTGGATGACTTCCCATCATAATCAAAAAAGATTTGGATTTCTTGATTTAAGATTGAGACGGAGGCTGTTTTTAAGGACACCCTCACATTTCAGTCTTTCAAAAACATTGTGTCCAGATAGTCAAGCTACCCCTGTCTACAATATATTGAGAGCTGACACTTGTGTGACCATAAGTATTTAGTTTGAACCCTTGGCATCATGTATGAATAAGTGAAAACATCAGAATAAGTTATGTCCTTATGATTACGTCATTTGAAAGGGGTGGGCTGTGTCTCCAAAGCAGGCTCTTTCAGTAAACATAAAGGGGGAGTCACTTTAACAAGCGTTTGTAGTTTCTCAAGCACACAAAATGTTTCTTGCATATTTTGTTTCCTGAAGTTTGTGATGCTTTCATTTCATATTTTGCGTTTTTGAGGGGTACCAAGATAAAAAGGCAAACCAAATGGGGATCGTGAGGCTGGAACCTACCAAAACCAATTTGCTTGAGGTTGACAGATAATATGTAGAAAAATAAAACATAGAAACAGCTGCATTTGAATAATTTTCTTGGTGAGGCTCACTACATTTTGATAGCCTCTCATATATCTAAAATCTGAATATTTTCTGTCAATCAGCACCTTGAACAGAATGGAAAATGTTCTGTCTGTAATGCATGGTATTTTGAAAACGACCAAAATCGGGTGATATTATGCTGTTTGAAACTTATGACATTTCCAAGATTTGTAGCTGCTATTATGCTATTTGACGTTTGTGTTGGTGAATCACAAGGTAACGTTAATTATCAGCAAGTAAATATACTTTGCTTTAAAGAAAATGATTTGTCCAAATGTTATATGACTTGCTGTCAAAATGTAATTATACTCATAGGAACAATGGACACTTAGTGTGAAATCTGATTTTATGTGTTACCATTTACCATAGTAACTATTGTAACTTTAAGTAACATGATTGTTTGCACAAAGTATAACCAGGTAATTGTTCCAATTTCCTAATGTGTACAAGAGAAATTATTTCCATTTATTTGTACCCTATACTTTTCGTGTTCAAAGAGCATTTGATAAGTGCGAAGGATAGACAGTCAGTTGCATTGTTGCTTAGAGCCCGTTGAAGGTTTCTCATAAATATTAGATGCTAACCTTTCAGCCTTAATCTCATTTGATAAACTGTTGCTTCAGGGCGTGGACTTGTGCAGCTGAACATAAGTAATGAGTTCACATTTCATATTCACATTTAACCATTACGTACCGTTATAATGGTAAAGAGCTGTATTTTCATGCCATCCATTGTGCTGTTTCAGCGTCCTCGGTCTTAACAACAACAACTACAACCACAACAACTACCACAACAACCACCACCACAACAACTACAACAACTACCACTCCAACAACGACATTGCCACGTAAGTGTAATGAAATTATGGTAAAGTCGACTATAGTTAAGTAGACTATTTCTCAGTTGGAATGTTAGCCCTTCTAAATTCTTCATGCAATTTTCAAGTCCTCATGATTATGGTTGTGATGGACGTATTTGTCGTTTTCTTTGACATAAATTGTTCATTAAACATTCCAGTAAAACATAATATGCAAATGACTGAAAAGAGGTTTTATCTTTAGTAAATGTTTTTACAACGTGCATAGCATTGCACTTCACCCATAGTTCATTTTAGGTACCCCATGAATAGACCACACATTTGTCTGACCTAAGAAAATGAAATATGGAAAACCAGCATAAAAACGAAAGGCTGAAGAATCTCACAGGCATTCTGATGAATGTGCTATAGACACACAGCAGCGAGAACAACAGTACAGGGTTTTCCAGTTTACATCAGATTAATTACTTAGCTCCCTCCTGTTTGAAAATAGCACGAAAAGGGAGTGATCCATCAACTAAATGACCACATGAAGTACTGCATGTAATCAGTAAACAAATCGCCACATTTTTAATACATGAGTGACAAAAACCGAAAAAGACATTTCCGTGGCAAAGTAAGGAAACATGTATTTGCTTTGATGAACGTTTTATTTTCAGCTTGCACTGGGTCCTTGACCTGTGTAGCAACTGTTCAATGTAACCCTGTTGGAGTTGTTACTGGTCGCATGTGTGCAAGTGGGGAAGTGTGCTGCGTCGGTAAGTAGTCTGACGTTTTTTGAGAATAAAACATAAGCCTTCTTCACACTATGTAATATATATATTTTTTTCTCCGAAACAATGCAGGTCATAATGTGAATCATACGGATACGTTAATAATCAGGAAGTAAAGATAGTACACTTTAAGAGAAATAACTTATCCAAATTCTATCTGACTCTGTTTACTATATACTTGTCAACATTTAAAGTTACTGGTAGAGACAATTAACAGTTAGTGTGCCATATGATTCTATATGTTATAACTGTGTACCATGGTAATTATTGTTGGGGCGTCTTTCAATAAGATGATTGTTTGCTCAAAGTGTAACCAGGATAATTGTTCCAGGTTTTCTAATGTGTTCAAGATACATTTAGCCCATTTATTTGTACCGTATACTTTTTGTGTTCAGAGATAGTGGAACCTATTTGAGTTCACCATTTGTTAGAGTGAAGGATATACAGTGAATTGCATGATGGCTTTAAAACCTATTGATAACACATTTGCATGAAGGTTTCTCTAAATGGTATACACTAACCTTTCAGCCTAAATTATTCTTGATGAATTGTTGCTTCAGGGCGTGGAACTGTGTAGCTGAAAATAGCAACGCATCACATTTTACATTTAAATTAAACCATTATGTACCATTCGAATGGTAAGGAGCTGTATTTTCATGCCATCCATTGTGCTGTTTCAGCGTCCCTGACCTTACCAACAACAACTACAATCACAACAACTACCATAACAACAACTACAACCTACAACCACAACAACTACAACGCCAACAACAACTACAACGCCAACAACAACTACAACGCCAACAACAACTACAACACCAACAACAACTACCACTCCAACAACGACATTGCCACGTAAGTGTAATGAAATTATGGTAAAGTCGACTATAGTTAAGTAGACTATTTCTCAGTTGGAATGTTAGCCCTTCTAAATTCTTCATGCAATTTTCAAGTCCTCATGATTATGGTTGTGATGGACGTATTTGTCGTTTTCTTTGACATAAATTGTTCATTAAACATTCCAGTAAAACAAAATATGCAAATGACTGAAAAGAGGTTTTATCTTTGGTAAATGTTTTTACAACGTGCATAGCATTGCACTTCACCCATATTTAATTTTAGGTACCCCATTAATAGACCACATATTTGACCTTAGAAAATGAAATATGGAAAACCAGCATAAGAACGAAAGGCTGAAGAATCTCACAGGCATTCTGATGAATGTGCTATAGACACACAGCAGTGAGAACAACAGTACAGGGTTTTCCAGTTTACATCAGATTAATTACTTTGCTCCCTCCTGTTTGAAAATAGCACGAAAGGGTGTGATCCATCAACTAAATGACCACATGAAGTACTGCATGTAATTTGTAAACAAATCGCCACATTCTTAATACATGAGTGACAAAAACCGAAAAGGACATTTCCGTGGTAAAGTAAGGAAACATGTATTTGCTTTGATAAACGTTTTATTTTCAGCTTGCACTGGGGCCTTGACCTGTGTAGCAACTGTTCAATGTAACCCTGTTGGAGTTGTTACTGGCCGTATGTGTGCAAGTGGGGAAGTGTGCTGCGTCGGTAAGTAGTCTGACGTTGTTTGAGAATAAAACATAAGCCTTCTTCACACTATGTTATATATATTTTTTCTCCGAAACAATGCAGGTCATAATGTGAATCATACGGATACGTTAATATTCAGGAAGTAAAGATAGTACACTTTAAGAGAAATAACTTATCCAAATTCTATCTGACTCTGTTTGCTATGTACTTGTCAACATTTAAAGTTATTCGCAGAGACAATTAACAGTTAGTGTGCCATATGATTCTATATGTTATAACTGTGTACCATGGTAATTATTGTTGGGGCGTCTTTCAATAAGATGATTGTTTGCTCAAAGTGTAACCAGGATAATTGTTCCAGGTTTTCTAATGTGTTCAAGATACATTTAGCCCCATTTATTTGTACCGTATACTTTTTGTGTTCAGAGATAGTGGAACCTATTTGTGTTCACCATTTGTTAGAGTGAAGGATATACAGTGAATTGCATGATGGCTTTAAAGCCTATTGATAACACATTTGCATGAAGGTTTCTCTAAATGGTATACACTAACCTTTCAGCCTAAATTATTCTTGATGAATTGTTGCTTCAGGGCGTGGAACTGTGTAGCTGAAAATAGCAACGCATCACATTTTACATTTAAATTAAACCATTATGTACCATTAGAATGGTAAGGAGCTGTATTTTCATGCCATCCATTGTGCTGTTTCAGCGTCCCTGACCTTACCAACAACAACTACAATCACAACAACTACCATAACAACCACCACCCCAACACCTACAACCACAACAACTACAACGCCAACAACAACTACAACGCCAACAACAACTACAACGCCAACAACAACTACCACTCCAACAACGACATTGCCACGTAAGTGTAATGAAATTATGGTGAAGTCGACTATAGTTAAGTAGACTATTTCTCAGTTGGAATGTTAACCCTTCTAAATTCTTCATGCAATTTTCAAGTCCTCATGATTATGGTTGTGATGGACGTATTTGTCGTTTTCTTTGACATAAATTGTTCATTAAACATTCCAGTAAAACAAAATATGCAAATGACTGAAAAGAGGTTTTATCTTTAGTAAATGTTTTTACAACGTGCATAGCATTGCACTTCATCCATACTTAATTTTAGGTACCCCATTAATATACCACATATTTGACCTTAGAAAGTAAAATATGGAAAACCAGCATAAAAACGAAAGGCTGAAGAATCTCACAGGCATTCTGATGAATGTGCTATAGACACACAGCAGTGAGAACAACAGTACAGGGTCTTCCAGTTTACATCAGATTAATTACTTTGCTCCCTCCTGTTTGAAAATAGCACGAAACGGGAGTGATCCATCAACTAAATGACCACATGAAGTACTGCATGTAATTTGTAAACAAATCGCCACATTCTTAATACACGAGTGACAAAAACCGAAAAGGACATTTCCGTGGTAAAGTAAGGAAACATGTATTTGCTTTGATAAACGTTTTATTTTCAGCTTGCACTGGGGCCTTGACCTGTGTAGCAACTGTTCAATGTAACCCTGTTGGAGTTGTTACTGGCCGTATGTGTGCAAGTGGGGAAGTGTGCTGCGTCGGTAAGTAGTCTGACGTTGTTTGAGAATAAAACATAAGCCTTCTTCACACTATGTTATATATATTTTTCTCCGAAACAATGCAGGTCATAATGTGAATCATACGGATACGTTAATATTCAGGAAGTAAAGATAGTACACTTTAAGAGAAATAACTTATCCAAATTCTATCTGACTCTGTTTGCTATGTACTTGTCAACATTTAAAGTTATTCGCAGAGACAATTAACAGTGAGTGTGCCATATGATTCTATATGTTATAACTGTGTACCATGGTAATTATTGTTGGGGCGTCTTTCAATAAGATGATTGTTTGCTCAAAGTGTAACCAGGATAATTGTTCCAGGTTTTCTAATGTGTTCAAGATACATTTAGCCCCATTTATTTGTACCGTATACTTTTTGTGTTCAGAGATAGTGGAACCTATTTGTGTTCACCATTTGTTAGAGTGAAGGATATACAGTGAATTGCATGATGGCTTTAAAGCCTATTGATAACACATTTGCATGAAGGTTTCTCTAAATGGTAGACACTAACCTTTCAGCCTAAATTATTCTTGATGAATTGTTGCTTCAGGGCGTGGAACTGTGTAGCTGAAAATAGCAACGCATCACATTTTACATTTAAATTAAACCATTATGTACCATTCGAATGGTAAGGAGCTGTATTTTCATGCCATCCATTGTGCTGTTTCAGCGTCCCTGACCTTACCAACAACAACTACAATCACAACAACTACCATAACAACCACCACCCCAACACCTACAACCACAACAACAACAACTACAACAACAACAACTACAACGCCAACAACAACTACCACTCCAACAACGACATTGCCACGTAAGTGTAATGAAATTATGGTAAAGTCGACTATAGTTAAGTAGACTATTTCTCAGTTGGAATGTTAGCCCTTCTAAATTCTTCATGCAATTTTCAAGTCCTCATGATTATGGTTGTGATGGACGTATTTGTCGTTTTCTTTGACATAAATTGTTCATTAAACATTCCAGTAAAACAAAATATGCAAATGACTGAAAAGAGGTTTTATCTTTGGTAAATGTTTTTACAACGTGCATAGCATTGCACTTCACCCATACTTAATTTTAGGTACCCCATTAATAGACCACATATTTGACCTTAGAAAGTAAAATATGGAAAACCAGCATAAAAACGAAAGGCTGAAGAATCTCACAGGCATTCTGATGAATGTGCTATAGACACACAGCAGTGAGAACAACAGTACAGGGTTTTCCAGTTTACATCAGATTAATTACTTAGCTCCCTCCTGTTTGAAAATAGCACGAAAAGGGAGTGATCCATCAACTAAATGACCACATGAAGTACTGCATGTAATTTGTAAACAAATCGCCACATTCTTAATACACGAGTGACAAAAACCGAAAAGGACATTTCCGTGGTAAAGTAAGGAAACATGTATTTGCTTTGATTAACGTTTTATTTTCAGCTTGCACTGGGTCCTTGACCTGTGTAGCAACTGTTCAATGTAACCCTGTTGGAGTTGTTACTGGTCGCATGTGTGCAAGTGGGGAAGTGTGCTGCATCAGTAAGTAGTCTTTCTGTCGTTGTTTGAGCAGCCCCAACAACAACCACCCAATCAACAACCACAACCCCGACAACAACCACCCAATCAACAACCACAACCCCGACAACAACCACCCAATCAACAACTACAGCCCCAACTACAACCACCCAATCAACAACCAGAGCCCCAACAACAACCACCCAATCAACAACCACAGCCCCAACAACCACCACCCAATCAACAACTACTGCCCCAACAACAACCACCCAATCAACAACTACAGCCCCAACAACAACCACCCAATCAACAACTACAACCCCAACAACAACCACCCAATCAACAACTACAGCCCCAACAACAACCACCCAATCAACAACTACAGCCCCAACAACAACTACACAATCAACAACTACAGCCCCAACAACAACAACCCAGTCAACAACTACAGCCCCAACAACAACCACCCAATCAACAACTACAGCCCCAACAACAACCGCCCAATCAACAACTACAGTCAACAACAACACCCAATCCCAACTACAGCCCCACAACAACCACCCAATCAACAACTACAGCCCCAACAACAACCACCCAATCAACAACTACAGCCCCAACAACAACCACCCAATCAACAACTACAACCCAGACAACAACCACCCAATCAACAACTACAGCCCCAACAACAACCACCCAATCAACAACTACAGCCCCAACAACAACTACACAATCAACAACTACAGCCCCAACAACAACCACCCAGTCAACAACTACAGCCCCAACAACAACCACCCAATCAACAACTACAGCCCCAACAACAACCACCCAATCAACAACTACAGTCACAACAACAACCACCCAATCAACAACTACAGCCCCAACAACAACCACCCAATCAACAACTACAGCCCCAACAACAACCACCCAATCAACAACTACAGCCCCAACAACAACCACCCAATCAACAACTACAGCCCCAACAACAAGCACCCAAACAACATCTACAACACCAACATCTACAACCCAAGCAACAACTACAACACCAACAACTACAACAACAACTACAACTTTGCAACGTAAGTGTTATGAGCAAATAATGCAAAGACTGTGTTTAAGTAGGGAACCTCACCCTTCTAAATTCATCATATACATTTTCCGAAACAGATATATTATTTTTAGTAAATATTCAGTGAACAAGCTGTTTCATAGTCCTCAAGATCATTGTCATGATTCACATATTTGTCACTTATTTTGACATAGAATTGTTATTCAAACCGTCCAGTTTGTCTGACATCAAAATATAGCCAGATAAAAAGTGAAAGGCTAATGAATCTCAAAGACGTTTTGATGAATGTGTTATAGGCACACGACAGTGAAAGGTTTTCAAGTTTTTCATTTGATTTTGAAGAATCTTCTTATCAACGTTCATTATCTAACCTGTCCTGGTTTAAAAGTGTCATGAAAAGGGAGTGGTCCATAAACTAAATGACTGGATGAAGAAATGTCTGTGTTTTGTGGTATTACCACATGGGTGACATCAAATAAAAAGGACATTTCCGAAGTAAAGTAAGGAAACAGCTGTATTCCCTTTGATGAACGTTTTCTTTCAGCTTGCATCGGACCCATACTCTTATGTGTTGCAACCAGTAACTGCAACCGTTTCGGGAGTGTTTCGGGTCGCTTTTGTCCTAGTGGGCAGGTGTGCTGCATCAGTAAGTAGTCTGACCTCGTTTGAACATGAAACATCGGGTTTTGTCCCAGTATGTTATTTATTTCTGGATAACGAAACGTTTGGTGACAAACCTTCCACGAACTTAATATTGGAATTCCATTTGCTTTTTGTAATGTTCTGATCATGGAACGAAATGGACATAGACGAAATGGTTTTACATCCGTGGAGAATATTTGTATAACACCTGCTCCTTGGTGTTCCGCAAAGTCTAGTTGCTATTACGCATTCACCTTTTTTTATAACTAATGAAACTTCCCATATTTTTAGTTAGTATTATGCTATTTAACCTCAGTTTTGGACAAAATGTAAATCAGAATGATACGTTAATGATATTTTTTTAGATACTTCATTTTAACAAAAATGAATGTGAAAGTGTTATATGTCTCCTTATTACATTGTCTTTGGTGTCAACATCCAAATTTTGCTACTTGTTGATTAACACGTTGAAACTAACAGGTGTAGCGGGAGCATAACACCTATGATGCCAACAAACAACAAAGAAAATGTAAAGCAATTAACAATTGTATTCTCTCAGCAATTATATCAGATTGCCCGGTGTATACTGCTAACCACAGATCCCTAACTTTTTGTATTCATTGATAGTTGAAATATAGCTGCATATAACTCCACATGCATCGTGATACCGAACTGTGCCATCCTTTTGATAGATCCAACTATATATTTTCGCTGGAATTAATTACACGGTTCGATAACGTAACTGTTAATGTCTTTATAAAACAATTATAGTATTTATCTAGTTTATAATGATTTTATTTTACAAACCTTCCGACACTGCGCCACTGAAAGCCGTAGGTGACAGGTAAGGGCGTGGCCAAACTCGCGGGTTTTTTAGGTGACAAGACACAAAGGATGTTTGAAAATACCCATTCATAAGCAGAATCTTAACTTATATACATTCTAGGAGGACGATTCAATACCTATAATGCAGATCATTAAAATAGTCACAATAATTGAAGTTGTACACACCCTTAATGAAACCGGAAGCACATACGGCATCGCACACATGGAGGTAAAATGTGCACGAGTTGGAAAACTACATTTGATACATTTTCTAAACTGATTCAAATTCCCGTAAAATCCCAAATATGTAGTAGAATTAGTTTTTTAAACACCTTCAATCGGTTACTGTTAGCTGTTATCAGATTTAGTTGTCATTATGTTGCTGTTGTATATCCCATATCTCTCTTTCCCCCACCCCTGCAGTGTTGCCGCCGGTGCGTTTTCATACTTGGCAGTCGAAATGGATTTGGCGGTCCATGATTTTCGAATAATGTACTGACACGGGAAGATATTATAAAATATCAGTATGTCACAACAATAACATAATATTGTTCTGTGTCTATCGTTACAAGGTCAATTTTGATAATTGTAGATGTCGATGCGTGAAACCTATTTCCTATTATGAAACCACATCTAATGTAAGATGACCCGTGAAGGTCCGGGCTAGAATTGATCTTCATTAACCCATGCTTGTTGTAAGAGGCGACTAACGGGATCGGGTGGTCAGGCTCGCTGACTTGGTTGACACATGTCATCGGTTCCCAGTTGCGCGGATCGATTCTCATGCTGTTGATCACTGGATTGTCAGGTCTAGACTCAATTATTGACAGACCGCCGCCATATAGCTGGAATATTGCTGAGTGTGGCGTAAAACCCAACTCACTCACTCACTCACTCACTCTTATGGAAGATTTATGGTACATGTAATTGGATTTCTAAAAATTAAAATGACGGGATTAAAAAATAGTCATCGTCTGTGTGAAATCGTTTGAAAAACGATATATATTTTAGACATAAAAAAAAGCTAAACAGCACATCTTTGGTTCTCCACGTAGGAGCAACATTTAAATAATCCTGTTGCCTAAAAAAGCAGAACTTTCAAAGTTTTAATTCTACCTAGTCTTTTACATTGTTTGACGTGTGTCCATTTAAAAAATAATAAAAATTAATGGTCAAGTGGCCCAATGCATGGCTCAATTTAGGATTTAGAATTTGCACTGGTGCAACCTAAAACTGCAAAATGTAACCTCATATTTATACCTACTTGCACATTGGGCATGTTCATATTTTGCAACACACACTTCACCTGGAAAACAAAAGGATGAGGAACTGGCTTAGAGCAATGATTACACTGATAGTGATTGAAAGAGAGACCATTACTGTTCATGTCATGGACTTTATGAAGTAATACAAAATGATCATAAAAGTGAGTGAGTGAGTTAAAGTTTTACATCGGATCGGCAATATTACAGCGATATAGCGATGATCATACCAGGCCCAGAATGAATAATTCCGTTGTAATGATATTGTAGGTCATCAATACCCCAAAACACAAGTAATAGATAATTATATATTGAGCAGGAGGTGCAACCTGTTTTTGTCTGGGGCATCAAGGTAATCACATAAGGTGGCACCAGGGGCAAATAGGTTTCCTTTCCCTAAATCGAGCCATGCAATGCATGATTTTTGTAGTCCTATTTGGAGCTAAGTCATTGATATTTCATTTTGGATTTTTTATTGCCATATAAACGACAACATCAAACACTTACAGACCCTATACGAAAGAGTGCTCAGGTTTTGACATTTTTAAATTCAAAGAAGACTGTTCTTGACATTTCTTGTTTTATGATGTCGGTGGCAATTTAACATACTATAGGTAATAGGAGCATATCACTCTCGGACACGTCAGCAAACAGGAACAATCTTTGAAAATTCAGTGGAATAATTTCACATTATGTCATTGCTCAAAAACCCAGGAAAAGATACTAAGGTAAGATCATTTCGATTTACTTTAACAGAACAATATTAAAATGAGGCCTGTTGACTTTCATCAGAGACCATATAATATATTACATGTGTATCGTCTCTGCTTTCATCAAATGATAACATTTTCTGAGAAATATATTGTTACTTCAACAGCATAACTAACCCCAGTTGAAAAAATAATTCACAAACCAAAGACCTACTGTTAAGAAAAAATAGTTCATAACATCTGTATTTGAGGTATATTTTAGCCAGATATTGTACACAAAGTACACAAAATATTATGATACATCTATCCATAAAATTTATGGTATAGTTGTATTAAATAATTATGTAAATTAGTTAGTTTTTCACATCTCTGAAAGACAGTAATTGAAATTGGTTATTTTCACTTTGATAATGCATTCATAGGTTCTTTACCCATGACCGTTTGGGAGAATGTTATTTTGAAACACAAATTTTGTCACTCCTATTTCCGCGCACCTGTTGTTGAGGCCCATGTCTGTAAACGTTGTTGCGTCGGACAAAGTAACCCCCCCAAAAAACAAAAAACCCCCAAAAAACCCAATAAAATCAATTATAATAAAAACAACAACAACAAAAAATAAATAAAATAAAACAATAACAACAAAGAAACTAGCACCAACATGCCTCACAATTAAATGTTTCTCATCTACATATTCAGTTTAGAATCAAGTGATGTTCCTAATATCAACAAGAGTTCAAACCAAAGATACTGAGAAACTTGCATGTGGAGTGTTGATCAACTATACTGTTTCCGTGTCACTGGAGCATACAAGGTCAAACTGGTTCCGTGATGTGCAAAATATATAGTAAATGTTTTTTCCTATGAGTTATGATTAATCGTTCTAAATGGCAATTTGTGTTACATTTGGGTTTGCTAGCACAAACGATTTTTAGCACACAACCCCTGTCTGTGACATCACATCCGGTCACCTTTGCCCTTTAGATTTCGCGTTCTTAATTTTCGATTTTCTATCGTCATATTCAACTGAAAATGATAAATGAAACACTTCTAGAATGAGACGTTCTTCAACTTTCGCCAGGACTTGAACATGAAATTCCTGTAAACTTTCTTCTTATCAAAATAGCAATATTTTATGTAGGGGGTGGTCGAAGCGGGCCATGTTTGTTTTTCGTACATGTAACACTGGTGCAATACCGGCTTTATGTGGGTTGGTGTCGAAAATAATGAATCACAACACTTGAAATTAGGACTTTATTAATTGATATTCATAAATCATGTATTCTGCCATTTCCGTGACATGACACGTAGGAATAAATGTAACAGTGTCATATGGATAAAATATGTGATGAAATCGAAAATACGATACGTTTTCTATTACCTTATTCCGTAAATGCTTTTTTAATTTGTGGTCGCGCTGATATTTGCAGATGCAAAAATACGAATTTAAAGTCTGTTAAATATGAGATATTGGAGATAAGAATATTTAAATCGCTTTGCGTTACTTCAACGATTTATACAGGTTCCTAATATGAAACGCATTCCACCGTCAATCAAGTAATTCAGGTAAAATCAGGA